TGTGTTGAAATTACATTTTTCTTAAAGTTTCAGGTTGTTCATTATATTATAATATTTTGTAAAAGAGTTCATCAATTAAAAAAGATTTCTGTAATAGATTTGTGTTTCTCTGCACAAATATTTGAACTTCTTGTTATTTTTGGGGTTTATATGACATGAGTTTTCTGATCCGGCCCCTTTGGGATCAAAGTTGGTTGGATACGGCCCCCGGACCAAAATGAGTTTGACACCCCTGGTCTAGTGTATTGTGATTCCTGATCTAGTCGCTGGAGAGAAATGAAATCGAGCGGAGACACGAGGTGGCTAACATTTCTGCATTTAATTTGCCTCTTTAATCCAGCAACGATGTTTGTTTTTTTCTGTCCCAATGACGTTTGCTTCGTCCCAGTCCATAATGTGCTTCTCTTTTTTACACTGGTCACAAATGGCTGATTTGAGTTGTTCCTGTTCTGCTTTATGTTTTGTTGCTTGTGTTTCACCTTTGCTGTTTCCTTCTCACGTTCTGTCCTATGTTCCTTTTTTTTTTTCTTCCTTTTTTCGTGTACTGATCACCCTCCCTGTTTCCCCAATGTATGTTTTATTGCATCAGTAAATAGTATTGTTTTGACAAGTGTGAGTTTATTTTATGACTAAGCAATGAAAAAGTGAGGCTGCCTTACAAAAAATGTCATTTCAAAAACACCTTTAAAAAAAAGGCAATGCAGTTTTAGTCCAAGCATGAGGTAAAATTGTTACATATCTTTAAGCTCATTTGGAAATACAAAATAAACAGGCCAGTCAAGGTCAGCCACAGAGCCGTATGTCCCCAGCAGAGGTGGGGACTTGCAAGTCGTGACTTGGACTCAAATCAGACTTGAATCACTTTTTATTAGACTTGAGATTTGAGTTGGTAAAATGGACCAAGACTTGGGACTCAACTTGGACTTGAAGGTCACTGACTTGAGACTTGACTTGGACTTGAGGCCTGTGACTTGAGAAGACTTGAGAAGCACTTTTAAATCTGAACTCTTTCTATTCTGACTGTAATGGTGGTGTCCATACCGGCTTTGTCAAAGTCTGATCCTGTCAGATCTCAGAGGCTCAGCAGGTCTGGGCCTGGTCAGTACTTGGATGGGAGACACTGGGAAAATCAGGAGCCACAGGGGGGCGTTGTGTCCTTAGGCAAGACACTTCACCCACATTGCCTAGTATGAAAGTGGTGTGTGTGAGTGATGGTGGTGGTCGGAGGGACCAATGGCGCCAATTGGTATGGCAGCCGCACTTCCGTCAGTCTGCCCCAGGGCAGCTGTGGCTACATTAGTAATTTACCACCACTGGGTGTGGAGAAAAAGAATAATGAATCTATAAATGCTCTGTAAAGCGTCTTTGTGACATATGTCTGTGATAAGCGCTATATAAATAAAAACTTACTTACTTACTTAATGATTCACTCTAAGATCTTGTCAAGACATTTAAAAAGGAAAAAATTACATTTCTACAACTTTTATATAGTCTATAAATACTCATATATAAATATACTATGAATTTTTAAGTACAATTTAGTTTAAAATTCATATAAATTGGAAAAATCTAAGCTATATTTGGTACTTTGGTTTAAAGACTTGAAATGACTTGAAGCTCAAAGCAGACGACTTGAACTTGACTTGGACTTATGGACCAGTGACTCGAGACTCAACTTGGACTTGCCTGTATTTGACTTGGGACTTGACTCGGACTTGAGGTGAAAGAATGGAGACTTACTTGAGACTTGCAAAATAATGACTTGGTCCCACCTCTGGGCCCCAAAGCTGTACAAGGCCCAGGTCTGGTCTCTGGTCTGGACTAAAGTGGAGAATTTGACCTTCTGTGCTCGTCTGGGGTCGATGGAGGAAACCAGAGCCCCCAGAAACCCGCCCAGACACGAGTAGAACATGCAAACTCCACACAGAAAGACTCAAACCTAGACTCTTTTGTGCCGTCAAACGTAACGTCTCCACGGAGAGAAGTCGGCGAGTGACAGAACCTCCACCAGAAAATACCGTTTAAAAATGAATCGCTAATTTGATGGCTCCATCAAAGTGACATAACTGTTTTTTTATGAGTTCTTTTTACAGATCTCTTTAACTGTTATTTGTCTTAGAGGAGATAAACGGGTCTCATTCGGTCCAGATGGTCCCATTAAATCTGCAATCACAAATATACGGACGTGCTTCATGTATTTTTGTGAATTATAAAGACAGAACGAAATCAGCTCTGAGCCCCGGGGAGACGTGAGGCCCACACAGACACACAGAAACGCCTTCGGATTTAATTCTACGTTTAACTTTATAAAAAAACAACAGAATGGGACAGTTATTGTTCGGTTCAGCGTCCAAAATCTGAAATAATCTTTGCCATTTTCATCAGACAAAAAATCGTTGTAATTCTTCTTTTTTTTTTTTTTTGTACGCACACTATGTAAAAAATCTGATCTCTACTGAACAGAAATGAGGCTGTTGACTTGAAAACTGCCACTTCATGACATCACAAGGTGGTGCAAACAGCAGTAATGGTGTCGAGGTTTAGTCCTGTTTTACTCCTGGTTTAGTCCTGTTTTACTCCTGGTTTAGTCCTGTTTTACTCCTGGTTTAGTCCTGGTTCAGTCCTGGTTTAGTCCTGGTTTAGTCCTGGTTCAGTCCTGGTTCAGTCCTGGTTCAGTCCTGGTTTAGGCCTGGTTTACATCACTATTAGGCCTGGTTTAGATCTGTTTTAGTCCTGGTTTAGTCCTGGTTTAGTCCTGTTTTAGTCCTGTTTTAGTCCTGTTTTAGTCCTGTTTAATCCTGGTTCAGTCCTGGTTTAGTCCTGTTTTAGTCCTGGTTCAGTCCTGTTTTAGTCCTGTTTTAGTCCTGTTTTAGTCCTGGTTCAGTCCTGGTTTAGTCCTGGTTTACATCACTATTAGGCCTGGTTTAGATCTGTTTTAGTCCTGGTTTAGTCCTGTTTTAGTCCTAGTTTAATCCTGGTTCAGTCCTGGTTTTTAGTCCTGGTTTACATCACTATTAGGCCTGGTTTAGATCTGTTTTAGTCCTGGTTTAGTCCTGTTTTAGTCCTAGTTTAATCCTGGTTCAGTCCTGGTTTAGTCCTGTTTTAGTCCTGGTTTAGTCCTGGTTTAGTCCTGTTTCAGTCCTGTTTTAGTCCTGGTTCAGTCCTTTTAGTCCTGGTTCAGTCCTGGTTTAGTCCTGGTTCAGTCCTGGTTTAGTCCTGGTTTACATCACTATTAGGCCTGGTTTAGATCTGTTTTAGTCCTGGTTTAGTCCTGTTTTAGTCCTAGTTTAATCCTGGTTCAGTCCTGGTTCAGTCCTGTTTTAGTCCCTGTTTTTAGTCCTGTTTTAGTCCTGTTCAGTCCTGTTTTAGTCCTGGTTTAGTCCTGTTTTAGTCCTGGTTCAGTCCTGGTTTAGTCCTGGTTTACATCACTATTAGGCCTGGTTTAGATCTGTTTTAGTCCTGGTTTAGTCCTGTTTTAGTCCTAGTTTAATCCTGGTTCAGTCCTGGTTTAGTCCTGGTTTAGTCCTGTTTAAGTCCTGTTTTATTCCTGGTTTAGTCCTGGTTCAGTCCTAGTCTAGATCTGCTTTAGTCTTGGTTTACACTATTACTCCTGGTTTAGTCCCTAGTTTAGTTGTGGTGAGGGGGTAATCCTGTTTAAGTCCTGGTTTAGTTCTGGCGAGGGGGTAGTTCTAGTTCTGGTCTTGTCTTGATTTACTCCTGATTTAGTTCTGGTTTAGTCCTGGATTAGTCTTGGTTTAGTTCTGGTGAGGGGGTAGTCATGCTGTAGTCCTAGTGTAGTCCTGGTTTACTTTTGCTGATAGGGTAGGTCTGGTTTAGTCCTCATTTAGTCCGGGTTTGATCCTGATTCAGTCCTAGTTTAGTCCTAGTTTATATCACTATTAGTCCTGGTTTAGTCCTGGTTTAGTCCTGTTTTAGTCCTGTTTTAGTCCTGGTCCAATCCTGGTTCAATCCTGGTTCAGTCCTGGTTCAGTCCTGGTTCAGTCCTGGTTCAGTCCTGGTTCTTTCCCAGTTTAGTCCTGTTTTAATCCCGGTTTAGTCCTGTTTTAGTCCTGGTTCAATCCCGTTTTAGTCCTGGTTTAGTCCTGGTTTAATCCCGGTTCAGTCCTGTTTCAGTCCCAGTTTAGTCCTGTTTTAGTCCTGTTTTAGTCCTGGTTCAGTCTTGGTTTAGTCCTGGTTCAGTCCTGTTTCAGTCCCGGTTTAGTCCTGTTTTAGTCCTGGTTTAGTCTTGGTTTAGTCCTGGTTCAGTCCTGTTTCAGTCCTGGTTTAGTCCTGTTTTAGTCCTGGTTTAGTCTTGGTTTAGTCCTGGTTCAGTCCTGTTTCAGTCCTGGTTTAGTCCTGTTTTAGTCCTGGTTCAGTCTTGGTTTAGTCCTGGTTCAGTCCTGTTTTAGTCCTGGTTCAGTCCTGTTTAGTCCTTGTTAGTCCTGGTTCAGTCCTGTTTCAGTCCTGTTTTAGACCTGTTTTAGACCTGTTTTAGTCCTGTTTTAGTCCAGGTTCAGTCTTGGTTCAGTCCTATTTCAGTCCTGTTTTAGACCTGGTTCAGTCCTGTTTTAGTCCTTGTTTAGTCCTGGTTCAGTCCTGTTTCAGTCCTGTTTCAGTCCTGTTTCAGTCCTGTTTTAGACCTGTTTTAGACCTGTTTTAGTCCTGTTTCAGTCCTGTTTTAGACCTGTTTTAGACCTGTTTTAGTCCTGTTTTAGTCCTGTTTCAGTCCTGTTTTAGACCTGTTTTAGACCTGTTTTAGTCCTGTTTTAGTCCTGTTTCAGTCCTGTTTCAGTCCTGTTTTAGACCTGGTTCAGTCCTGTTTTAGTCCTTGTTTAGTCCTGGTTCAGTCTTGGTTCAGTCCTGTTTTAGTCCTGTTTAGTCCTGTTTCAGTCCTGTTTTAGACCTGTTTTAGACCTGTTTTAGACCTGTTTTAGACCTGTTTTAGTCCTGTTTTAGTCCTGGTCCAGACCTTCACGTGTCTGTCTTGTGTGTGTGTTCAGGCGTCGGAGCAGCAGACCGGTGCAGTCAGACCACCTCCAGGCTCCAGGGGGACGTGCGGTGGATCTGTGCCCAGCCTCGGTGCCTCCTCCCTGGGCTTTGTGATCAGTGTCAGCCCCTCCTCCAGCAGTTCCAGCCCAGTGCTAAACCAGGTCAGCTCCACTCGCACTGTAAAGAAACGCACGTCTGTTCAGAACCACTTTTTATTTTTTATTTTTAACAGTACGAGCAAGACACTGACTTTTTGACTTTTTCACTGTTTTATAAACCTTTTTCTCAACGGTCGGAAGTGTCGCGATGTCGGGTAAACGTCACGTACGTTAACGCTTTTCTACGACAAAATATCTGTGGAAATGTCACTATTAGCCCTGATTTAGTTCCGGTTTAGTCCTAATTTAGTCCTAGTTCAGTCCTGGTTTAAGCTTGGGTTAATCCTGGTTTAGTCCTGTTTTAGTCCTAGTTTAGTCCTGATTTAGTCCTGGTGAGGGGGTAGTTCTGGTTTAGTCCTTGTTTAGTCCTAGTTTAGTCCTGGTTTACACCACTATTAGTCCTGGTTTTGTCCTGGCTTAGTCCTGTTTTAGTCCTGTTTTAGTCCTGGTTTAGTCCTGTTTTAGTTCTGGTTTAGTCCTGTTTTAGTCCTGGTTTAGTCCTGGTTTAGTTTTGGTTTAGTCCTGGTTTAGTCCTGTTTAGTCCTGTTTTTAGTCCTGGTTTAGTCCTGGTTTTAGTTTTAGTTTTGGTTTAGTCCTGTTTTAGTCCTGGTTTAGTCCTGGCTTAGTCCTGTTTTAGTCCTGGTTTAGTCCTGTTTTAGTCCTGGTTTAGTCTTGTTTTAGTCCTGTTTTAGTCCTGGTTTAGTCCTGGTTTAGTCCTGGTTTAGTCCTGTTTTAGTCCTGTTTTAGTCATCGACTTTTTGACGTTTAAAAAATTTGACCTGTAAAATCCTTCTCTTGGCGTTCACTTTTCTCATTTTTGACATTTTTCTGATGAGGGTGTCACGGTCAACAGTCAAAACGATCGTCCTTTAAGAGCGTTTGGAAAGAGACAAGTCTTCATTTGTGCTGCTCTGGTGGGAGGGGCCACGTACAGAGACGCTGGAGACGCTGCTGTGATAAACACCGCAGAAAATTAACAATATTTTTATAGAAAATATATAATATACTATAAAATATAATATTAAAATATTCTCGTAGAAAATCAGCCGAGGGCCAGATTAAAGGTCTTGGAGGGCCGGATCCAGCCCCCGGGCCGTATGTTTGACACCCCTGGTCTACATCATGAAATCGATTTTTAATTGTAATTCTAGAATCAGTGTGAGTTCACAACTTACTTATTAATAAATTACTTATTACTTATGTTTTATTCATGATCATAATGTTAGTTTTGCTCAGGAGTAGTTCACTAATGCGTCCTCTTTGTTCGCCTTTACGCTTTCGTCTTTCTTACCTTGATAGTTGTGGATAAATTCTTCATGTTTATCCTTTGTGAACCTTGTCGGATGAAGATTTGGTGATGGGGCAGATGTGATTTAGATTTTGACTTCATGGAAACCGTCTGTCCTCGCAGCATTAGGATTTGTTCACTCGACGGTAGACGGGTACTTTTTTATTTAACCAATCGCTGCTATTTGTTCGTGACATATGTAATGCGCCTGAACACTCAGTGGTGTCCAAGTAATTTCCAGCACAACAGCAAACAAAGCAGAGAGCAAACATGTCTGTCAACGATCATGTCGTTTCTGCGAAGTGAACTTGCAAATTAAAGGTGCAATAAAAAAAAAGATAAGTTTGTATTTGACAAAGGAAGTTTAAAGGAGGATCGAGTATACAGTCTGCTGTCGCAACTCGGGTTGGTTCAGCTCTTCACTGATTGGCCGGTGCGCAGTTTATAACAAGTTTTTGCAAACCATTTGGTGTATTTTGATTCTAGTCACTGGAGACCACTGTTGGGCAAGTTACTTTAAAAACGTAATGCGTTATTTATTACTTATTACTGTCATTTCAAAGTAATTCGTTACATTACAATATTACTGCATTTAAAATGTAAGGCATTACATTACTATTGCATTACTTTAAGTTACTCTCCCAAAATAACTGCGAAGATGCTGAACTTTTGCGCCGTATATGGACTGAACCAGGACTAAACCAGGTCTAAACCAGGTCTAAACCAGGACTAAACCAGAGCTGAACCAGGACTGAACCAGGACTATAACAGGACTAACCTCGGACTGATTCCAGGACTGAAGAGGAGAACTAAACCAGGACTGAACCAGGACTAAAACAGGACTAAACCAGAACTAAACCAGGACTAAACCATAACTGAACTAGGACTAAAACAGGACTCACTGTGGGACGGTCTTGAAGGTGACCGCAGGAGAAAGGAGCGGCTCTGCTCTGCACCTCATGGAGGTAAGAGCGGCTTTGACCCTGCTGCTCGGGCTCGCGGCCCTGATTTCAGCAACTATTTGCAGGGACCCGACCCGGTGTAAGACTCTGCTACAGCGCGTAACTTCTACCTTCCTTCAGCGTGTCCAGAAGTCCAACTTTTTGTGCGATAGTGAGCATCTTCCTCTGTCTTTTGGGTGCGAGCGCAGGAGCCTTTGTCAGTGCAGAACGTTTTGTCGACGTTGTGGATTTTGTCGGGGAGAAAACTTGCAAACATACAGCACTTCGGACGACTGTAAACCAGGTCTAAACCAGAACTGACCCAGTTCTAAGACAGGTCTAAACAGCGTAGAGTTCTGTGTCAGTCCTTTCCCCGCGGTTACCTGAAGGTCTAGTCGGCCACGTCTCAGGCGTTTCCCCGCTGCTGATATCGCGGTGATTTTAGCAAATTTGTATGAAGAAAAACCCACCACTTCGATCCAGGTTAAAAAAGCATTGTAGCGCACTTTACTCACATTTGTACCGAGTAAAATATTACTATTTTTTCTCCTGTAATGCCTTACATTACTGCGTTACAGCAAAAAGCAATGCATTACTGTAATTCGTTACTTTTATAACGCGTTACTCCCAACACTGCTGGAGAGAAATGAAATTGAGCAGAGGCACTAGGTGGAGGCAGCCTGGCTAGATTTATGAAGCTGATGAAAAGTACGTGAGAGATTTCCACAGATATTTTGCCACAGAACCTCCAGCGGGACACTTTGGGCCGTTGTGAAAAAGCTCTATTGTTGTCCCATCATCAAATTGATACCTGGACTTATATTTTGTGTCATTCTTGCTTATTTTCCATTCATTTAAAGTCATCTTCTCTGAGCACTCAAAAACACTCTTTGCATTTTGCCAGGTTTGTCGCGTCAGAGGTAAAAATCCAGACTTCTCCTGCACTGTTTTGAATCGAATAATAAACTATCACTGGAATCTTTTTGTGTGAAATTGTGTTTACGACAAGCGCACGACTCTATTCACTTTGCGGTCTTGTTGTCTTTTGGCTTCATTTCTTTATTTTCCCATTGTTTATGCTTGTTGCTGACAGCAGAGGGAGCTCTAACTTCTCCATACCTCATTGGAAAAGTTCACTCTATGTGTGTTTTCCGTATTTTAAGTTAAAAGATATGAAATAGTTATCCCAAGGCAACCAAAAGTGCTCGTAAAAACCACAGGAATGTATAAAATGTGTCTTTAACGTCTAAAAACAGATGGAAAAACAGATCTCAGGGGAGTCTCTTGGTCCTGGTGGGGTCTTTCCGTGTGGGTGGGTTTCCATTTTCTTATCCTTATGAATGTTACAGAAGACGTTTTATACCTTTGTCTGCTTTATATTTATAATCTATGTCACATTATGTTTTATTCTGAACATTTAAAATCACAATATTGATCCAAAACGTCTTAAATAAAAAAAATAAGTTTGCTGATTTCCTGTTGATTTCCACCTTAAGGGACCTGAGCTGTAAACATCACAACAAAATCACAGCAAAGTGTTCATAAAGAGTTGAGAATAAAAATGTGATAAAAACGTCTTTAAATATTACAGAAGAACCACAGAAAAATACAGCTCAGATAAACATTTGAACGTGTTCAAAACTCTGTGTAAACTGAAAGCCCACGCAGAGTTTTCTACAAACAAACACAAGAACAACAACGACATGAAGAGAGAGAGAAAGAAAGAGTGACAAAAAAGAGAGACAGAGAGAGGACAAAGAGAGAGAGGGACAAAGAGAGAGAGGGACAAAGAGAGAGACACATGGAGAGAGAGAGGGGGAGAGAGACAAAAAAAGAGAGACAAAGAGAGAGAGAGAGTGAGAGAGACAGAGAGAGAGAGACATGGGGAGAGAGGGGGAGAGAGACAGAGAGAGAGACTGAAAGAGACAGAGACAGAGAGAGACACAGAGAGAGAGAGACAGAGAGAGAGAGAGAGACAGAGAGAGAGAAAGAGAGTGACAAAAAGAGAGAGACAGAGAGAGACAAAGAGATAGAGAGGGGGACACATGGAGAGAGAGGGGGGGAGAGAGACAAAAAAGAGAGACAAAGAGAGAGAGAGAGAGAGAGGAGAGAGAGACAGAGAGAGAGAGAGACAGAGAGAGAGAGACATGGGGAGAGAGACAGAGAGAGACAGAGAGAGAGACTGAAAAGACAGAGACAGAGAGAGACACAGAGAGAGAAGAGAGACAGAAGAGAGAGAGAGAGACAGAGAGAGAGAAAGAGATAGAGAGGGGACACATGGAGAGAGAGGGGGGGAGAGAGACAAAAAAGAGAGACAAAGAGAGAGAGAGAGAGAGAGAGTGAGAGAGACAGAGAGAGAGAGACAGAGGAGAGAGACATGGGGGAGAGAGGGGGAGAGAGACAGAGAGAGAGAGACAGAGAGAGAGAGACAGAGAGAGAGACTGAAAGAGACAGAGACAGAGAGACACAGAGAGAGAGAGAGAGACAGAGAGAGAGAGACAGAGAGGGACAAAGAGAGAGACACATGGAGAGAGAGAGGGGGAGAGAGACAAAAAAAGAGCGACAAAAGAGAGAGAGACAGAGAGAGAGAGAGAGAGAGAGAGAGAGAGAGACAGAGAGAGAGACTGAAAGAGACAGACAGAGAGAGACACAGAGAGAGAGACACAGAGAGAGAGAGAGAGAGAGAGAGAGAGACAGAGAGAGAGAGAACAGAGAGAGAGAGAGAGAGGAGAGAGAGAGAGAGAGAGAGAGACAGAGAGAGAGAGACAGAGAGA